ATAAAAAGGGAAATTCTTAGTCCATTTTGATCGAAAATTTTTCGAATGTGAGAAATTCCCCTCTGTATTTTTTGTATTGCAAAAAACACATGAATTTTCACGAATACTTGTTGGATGTTTTCATCGAATTTGTCATCTTGCTGGGGAAGAATTTGTACTTGCAGGCAAGGGGGAGAGAAAGAGAGGGCAGAAAGAAGAGCCTGCACAATAATAAGCGCAATTTTTGCATTCTGTTCAGTTGGAATCATCGATTTTCCCACGCAGGCAGAGCTTTTCTTTTCAGTCATGACGGTCTATTGCGTACGAACAATTAACTAGAATCATGAAAGAAATGAGGACAAAAAGATTATCTATTGTCCATTTCCAATTAATGCTGAGAAAGTACACATGAGGAGTTTTGAGAATCTCTGCTTTGCACGCATAAGCAAAAATATCATGTGAGTGACTCACTGGCAGCGGTTAGTTCAACGCCAAAATTAAAAATGAATTTCACTTTTCCTCATCGCTCGCGGGCTTTTGCTTTTTTTAATTGAAACTTGCTCTTTTAATTCAGTGAAGTTATCTCATTTGCATTTATAAAAATTGTGCATTAGCTTGCACAATGTTCCTTGCACTGACTACAATTTCCATCAGTCAAAGAACTCATGTCACTCACTACTAGCTGAAACAACTTTTTTTTCGAATATCCGCTTGCCTTATGGAGGAAATGTGCTCCCATTCAAAGGTAACTGGAATGAATATGACTTCTATTCACTTTTTCACTTATCTCGTCATCCATCTCGCTTGTCGATTCAATCCAGGGTTATCTCAGCTTATCAAAGCTTTCGTGAAACTGTTTGGTCCATTTTTTCGTCATATTTTTCTCATCTCTTTATTCTATGGAAGCTACTCTGCCAATTCTGTTATGCATCATGTGCCGCTACCATTGCACTCCGCATTTTTATCTTATTTAGATACAAATAGAGCAACTTTAACCAAAGTCTCGGAGTATTTCTCACGAAGGTAGACTTTTTGGACCTAAAATTCAGCAACTGTTACTGCTATTCTTCTTGTAGTGCTGACACAAGGATATAGCACATTCCTAATGGAAACAATTTGATGTAATATACAAATGTTGTCTTAATAGGTGGTTCAAGAGAAGCTACGAACTGGGTCAGAAATTAGTGAAGAATTATGAGGGGAAAGTCTGTATTAGGTTTACTGTATTGAATACTCTCTGACATAAAATCACCCTGAGATATTTTTCACTCTCGTAATTTTTCTCAAGCCATCTTTCAAGACAACATTCAAAATCTCTATTATGTTTTTTTTATTAGACTGCTTCACCACTGAACTTATTATTCGCGTAAGTGAATGACTTCTACTGACCTTCGTTCTCCTTGAGGTCGGACCTAAGAAAGGCTGAGAATATTTCGTCTACCTCCAGGTAGCTCATTACAAAGCGCAAATTCTAAAGTAGATCTCCACTTTGCATGCTATCACCACTTAAGATCCATTCTAGCAAGGTTTTAATGATGGCCACTAGTGTGAGGCTATGGAATTTCGATATGGCTATGGAATTTCAATAGGCTCTCCTATCTTCGCACCTTGTTTACCTTCAATTTTTTTCCCTAGAACGTCATATGCTCATGAGGCTTCTCTCTTCAAGGTTTTTTGGTATTCTAAGATTGTGCTGAAGAGCAGAGAAGAGCGCATAGCCTGAATCATCCAGTTTCGTTCGAATAGCTCAATCCCTCTCCACACTTCCTTTATTTGCTTTGAAACATCCTGCTGATGGCTCGAAGATTTATGGTAGATCATTTTTATCCGCTAACATACTCCTCTGGGATCGTGCGCTTGCGTAGTTTCCAGTATGCGACTTCGTAAAGTATCGTATTACAAGCTTACTTTCAGTCTAGGTACTTGGGACTTCTTCTGCTTTTGTCAGTATTTATTCAATGACATATAAATCAAACACTATGCTAGCGCATTCCTATTTCTGAAATCGCTAATCGCCATTTGTCAACACCTTGATCCAAAAAATTTTCGCCAATGGCTTTTGACCTTGGGAAAATCTCATTTCCTGCTCTAGTTCTCCATAAGATTCAAGCGTCAGATTACACGCCAATTTCCCTCAAATACAATCTGTGAAGGTCGGGTTTGCGCAGTTGCTCTAATTCGAGGTCTCAGTACTTGATTATGATAGGCTAACAAATCTTCGGATACTGCCTGTAGAGGCAACGTCCACCTAAGTTAGGTCTAGATCTTTTGGTAGCACGCGATAGTAGGGCCCCCTATCAAGCCAATGCCCATGCTGCGGCGCAAAATATCGCGTCGGAAGCGAGAAAATCGCCCCGACATAACGAAGAGGGAGGTGCGAGGAACTCCTCAGACAGTCGAAGGGATACTTCCGGCGGGCATATGGCGCGAGTCTGCCACTTCGCGCTCCGGAGCCCTGCCATTTCACGCGTTTTTGTGCTCCGGGGCTCTCCCAAAAGTGGCGCACCTCCGGAGCAGAGATTTGCGCGTCGCGGAGAGGGGTCCCATTCGCCCTGTTTGTGACGTCACCGTGACGTCACGGTGAATGAATGGGACCCCTCTCCGCGACGCGCAAATCTCTGCTCCGGAGGTGCGCCACCTTTGGGAGAGCCCCGGAGCACAAAAATGCGTGAAATGGCAGGGCTCCGGAGCGCGAAGTGGCAATCCTCCGCTGGGGAAAGCCCGCGACCCTGCCACTTCTGCTCCGGAGGTATCCCATCGACCGTCTGAGTCTGGGTGGCACTGCCCCCCCCCCCTCATTAATGCCAGCCTATTCGTGTACGGCCATCCAATCACCGTTTGGAGAACGCCTCCAGCGGGTTTTTGGAAGAAAAATGTCGCGGATTTTGCAGATTCTCGATTTCACTGCATCAAGCACATGAGAAGGCCCCACAACAACAGAATTATGAATTTGAGAATTTGGGTGGACCGTCCACGCCCCCCCCCCCCCCAAACTCTCTAGTCATCTGGCGCGCGGCTGCTACCGAGTTTTTTGGCAGCAAGAGCGCATTTCTCGACATTCAGGCTGCACTCATACTGCCCTAAATGCTATCGCCTGTGGCCCTATGCCACAGAACTTTGGAGCCCTAAGTCCATACGTATCGCCCACTCCAAGATTGCTGCCACCCCCGCGCTGCATCTTTGACCTGTGGCTAACATGGCAACACGCAACAACATATTCAACAACATGTCTGAACCTTAAAGGCACCGTCCACCCAAGTTGGGGTTGGTGAGATTATGATACCTAGCAGATGCGGGGCCCCCAATTGTATGATTGCCCAGCTCGCGCTGCCTGAAGTTGCTTCCGAACCGAGAAAGTTGCTTCGGAAATCGCTTCAGGCCGCGTTCGCGACGCTGGCTCCTCCCCTTTCGGAGTGGGCGTGACGTTCGTCCCGCCCATTCTCAGACAATCGCCGGGGGCAGGCGGGCACCGGAAAAATAGATTGCTGATCTCTTGCACCCCGCTCGCGGATTTTTTGGAAAGCAATCAGGACTTTTCGGAAGACCGCTTGCTGAGTTCTCGATTCCTCAGAGTTTCAGCAATATATCTGCAAAAGATAAGAACGAGAAAAAATTCAACAGGCGGTCTCTCAAAAATCCGCTGACTCAGCAAGCGGTCTTCCGAAAACTCCTGATTGCTTTGCAAAAAATCCGCGAGCGGGGTGCGAGAAATCAGCAATCTATTTTTCCGGTGCCCGCCTGCCCCCAGCGATTGTCTGAGTTCATGCGCGCCCAACCAATCACCGTGCCGAAGATATCGCTCTGCGGGTTCTGAAAACGGGGGTTTTCGTGGTTTTCGCGGATTTTCAACTTGATATTCGGAATCAGGGGTATGAGAAGGCCCTGGAACGGCAAAAACATGGAGGTCGAAATTTTGGGTGGACGGTGCCTTTAATAGCCACAGATGATGCTACATGTTTTTGCATGTTACCAACATGTCAGCCATGCGTGCGCAAGACAAAGACGCGGAGCAGGGATAGCATTTTGCCGATGATACATTCTGCTCGCGTGGAAAGCGGCGTTCTTAGTGCTGCTTCTCTCAGCAAAGAGTATATGTAGTTGACCGCATGGAATCGCCCAGGCTGAACGCCCGCTACCTTGTCTCTTGGCACCCCACTCTCTGGCATTCGCGCACATGAGTCATGCGCCCGACCTCGGTAGCCGCGTTGCAGGCACGCTCGCGTGCGTTCAGCTTACAGCGATATGGGCGATTTCGTGCAGTCGACTTTAAGCTGTCTCCTCCAAAATGTAGTGGAAAAGCGACAATTTCAACGTTGTCCTGAACTGATGCTCACCTTCTTTTATCGGCGGTAGACAGTCTGTGCAGTCCTAGTGGATAGAAGACGATAACTTGCAAAAAGCGGAGGTCCCGCATGGACATCTGCGACGAATGCACACCTCACTGCACGCAAGAGGCGCGAATCCGTTGCAGATTCGCGCAATATTTCCCCTTCCTTCAACATATGCTGCTTTCATACTGATCTGAAAGTTCGGGAACAGTTTCAACACAGCACTTGGAATGAGCGCTGTGCTGAAACTGTTCTCGAACTTCGGGGTTAGTATGAACGCACCAATATAGTGCTCTATCAATCTTGGTGGAACAAAGGGGTCCTTGCGCGATGTGAGATAGCGCGGATGTGGGCGGTCTTTCTAGTTACGTTGTGCAATTCGTCGCGCATAAGCACGCTTTCGTTTGAAGGCAGCCGGATAAATCTGACATCATTCGCACTTCATTGTAGTTGCTTGGGTAGTCCAATTAAGCCTCTTGCTGAAAGGACTCAGCTTCCTTGTTAGCCCTAGTGTAACTCTCACTTGTACACTTTCGAAGCGAATTAGCAGAAGACATTAACATCATTGGCATTCAAGCAATGCATCTCATTTGTAATTCTGCATTAGAATTCAATGTTAAATTCCAGTCCCGATTCTATTATGTCGAAAACTTTTTGTCATTTTCGTTTGGTCCGTAAAGTCCCTCATTTCAGTACAAGGGTGATGGAACGTTCATCGGAAAAGGGAGTAGCAGTGGCATCTAGTAGTTCTGCAACAACGGCGGAAGCCAGCCATGCAGCCAGCGCAGCTGCCAAAGACGCACAAGGAAGCGATATCGGGAAGAAAGCAAAGGATGCCACAACGAAGCCATCATCGAATAGCATTAAAGAAGAAACATATCATGACTGCAGGTTTGTCAGTGTTTGCTCATAATGCTAAAGTTCTCCTTTAGATATCACCCACTCTACGATTGCTGCTACCTTTGCTCTGGGTCTCTGACCTGCGACGAGCAATGGCTGACTTGTGGGCGACATGCAACAGGAACTTTGGCTATTATCCTTGAGACAAACATGTTATTGCAGTAACATACTAACCAGGGTAGGGGGACATAGGTCGCCGAAAGGAGGTCCCGCGCGGACGTTTGCAACAAACTACGAGTCCTCAACATAAACGCCTCATGCTGGCTGTCACGAGGATGGAGCCTATAGGCGACCTAGAGGAACGGCCATAGGTTGTCGGCAACGTTTGCCGAGGTTGCTAAGGTTGCCGGCGTTGTAGAGGACATTAGGTCGCCAAAAGGGGCGATCCCGCGCGGACATCTGCAACAAACCTCGCACCTTCACGTTACTGCCTCCTGCTGGTTGTCCGGGTGGAGTCTATCGGTGACCTAATGTCCTCCACCCCCGGCGTTGCCGAGGTTGCAGGGGTTGCAGGTTGCGAGATTGCTGGCAAGGGAATGGTCAGAAGTCGAAGTGGCCAAACCAAACAAGCTGTATACCATTCGGTGCAGTATAAAACGCTGATTTCGAATCTGTCCTTCTTATCTGCTTCCCGCTTCTGTGGACGAAGCTACAAGCGATTTTATTGTGAAAACACATAAAAACAGCGAAATTGAGCACACTGTTGCACTTTTAGTTCAGCTTCTTTCTTCAAAAATTTGAAGTAGGCTAGCTGCATGTTTTGGCCCAGCATTAAGGCGAACATGGCTTTGCATCGCTAAATTTTCAATTTCACGTGTAATTTCTTAGCAAAATAATGGCCTTTATGGCTTGTAGCTTCGTCCACAGAAGCGGGAAGCAGATAAGAAAGACAGATTCGAAGTCAGCGTTTTATACTGCATCGAATGGTATACAGCTTGTTTGTTTTGGCCACTTCGACTTCTGACCATTCCCTTGTGAGGTTGCTGAGGTTGCTGGGGTTGCCGAGGTTGCCGGGGTCAGAGACAGCTGGGTGAGTGACTTTTCATACGATGAGCAATTCCGAGGTGCGAGGTGTGGACGCCTACGGCTAAGTGCCAAGTCTCGCACCTCCGTGTCTAGTATACTGTAGAGAGAGGGGGGGGGGGGGAGGGGGACTTTTCATACGATTGCCTCCACATAACCTTTTGGCAAAGATCCAGTAAAAAACTGGCACCATGCTAGGTTTGGGCCTGCTGGCTCCATTTCAAAAAAAACATCTAGATTAGCTTTTGCAGTACCGCGAATTTGGATAAATTTGAAAAACTTGAATACTGTATGGATTCAAAAAGTGTTTTGCTGTGAAAAATAACGCTATGATTGTTCCACTTACGAATTTTTTAGTATTCAAGTCGAAATAATTCGGTCTCTTTTGCAGTTCAAGATGATGAGATTGAGCAATTCCTAAATTCCCTAATAAATTTCTTTCGAAATTTCAAGTGATTCTAGAACTTCAAAACACTAAATATGTGCGATATGCTGCCCATCTGGCAATAGGAATCGCGCCTCTTGACATATCTACACCCATTGGAGGGCATGCGACTCGATAAAGCAAACTATTCATTACCACACTTGTGCCAGTTGTTTGCGAAAATAATTACCTTCTAGCATACGCCAGAAGGTCAAAGTGATCGGGGAGCGTTCGTATGAAAAGTCCCGCTCCCCCCCCCCACCTAGGCATAGTGTAAAATCTTACTCATTACGTGGATGGAGAGGTGCGATGTAGGTGTGAGGTAGGTGCGAAGGCTAGGTGCGAAATCCTCGATCGTATGAAAAGTCCCCCCCCCCCCCCGAGACAGCTTAGAGAGCTCATGTGGTCCTAACGACCGGCAACCTTGGCAACCTCAGCAACTCAACCTCCGCAACGCCGGCAACCTAGCGACTTCGGCAACCGTTGTCGGCAACCTATGGCCTTTCCCTAATGTCCTCCACCCTGTTCCATGCGTGCCGCAGTCAGCGACGCAGAGTAGGGGTAACAGTGGAATGGAATCGACGATACGCTGGCGGATCTGAAAGCATGAAAAGTTCAAAAAGCATTACTTTGAGGAGGAAAAGCTCACTAAAAAATCCACAGGGAGCAGCCACAGCGGGTCCGGGTTTAGGCCTTCAGCCGCGCGGGATTGTTTGGTGCGCGTCACTCTTAGCAAGAAAGTGATGGCTGTTATCCAGGGCCCACAGAAATCGTCTGGAAGCAGGCTGGACTTCTTTTTGAAGCGAGCAGCAAAGGGGATATCGTTTTTGACGAATCGGAACCGAGCACCAAGTATAAGCGCCATTGGCGAACACAAGCTTTTTGGACAGGTTATCACACGATTGACATGCCCTATCGTGCATGGCGGAAAGTGCGCGCGTTTTGAAAGCAAGGCTTAAATACACAAATTGCTTGTTTACAGCGCACACAGAAGCATATGACACCAAAATTGAACTGTATGTATAGAAAATTATTTGCGAAAGTATTATGTAAAAAGATTTAGAAACTTATGTGAAGTAATACCTTTTCCAAAATTAGATCGTCTCTAGACGGCCACCAGACAGTCTGAGATCGTCTGGAGCATATATTTTCGTCACTTCACATAAGTTTCGGATCTTTTTAGCATGGATGGATTCCCCGGTCAAAAATCTATCCCTGAGCATGAAGACATTTTCATATCATTGCCTTTCCTTTGTTTTTTGCTTCCATTTCTTCTCGCTTTCTCGAATATCGCGCTGTAATGCCAAAGTCTTGTGCATGCGTAGTATTCAGCTCCAATTTGGATTTTCTCTCTTATCTTTTCTTTCAGACTAGTAAATCTTTTTTGTTTTCATCCCTCCTAAGCAAATAGGTCAAAGGGGACTTCGTAAAACTTCCGAAAGTCAGGGGAGACTTCGTTTTCAGAAAGCCTAGAAACCGACTCGTGCCGGGCCCTCTGTCATCGTCCCCTCCACAATTGCTGCTACCCTTGGTCTGCGTCTCAAACCACCCACGTGTGGCTAACATGTTGGGTAGGTGCCAGAGTAAGCGAATATTTTGTTCAAGTTGGGGTCCCGCGCAGAACTGGCATCACTAATCATGTGGCATAATGCCAACTTGGCGTTGTGCCACAATAATTAGTAACGCCAGTTCCGCGCGGGACCCCAACCTGAACAAAATATTCGCTTACTCTGGCACCTACCTTGGGAACATGGCACAACATGTTTGAGCATGCAGCAACATGTTGACGTGGCCAAAATGCTCTGCCAACATGTCGTGGCATGTTGCAAACATGTTAGCCACACGTGGCAGGTCTGAGATTCAGACCAAGGATAGCAGCAGGTGTGGAGGGGACGATAGCTTCGAGGTCAACATGTTGTTGTTTGTTGCTAACTGTTAGCGATGCGGCCGGTCAGATACGCAGGGCAGGGAGTGCCGATACGTCTTTTACGCTATGCAACAACATGTTGGCCTCAAAGCTAACAGCAATACATTGTTGCTGACATGTTGTTGCATGTTGCTAATATGTCAGCCATGCAGCAGCAGATCTTAGACGCAGAGAAGAAGCAGATCAAGTGGATCAAGTGGACATCCGCTTTGCTATTGGTCAATTCACTGATTTGACCAATAGTGAAGTGTATGAAGTGGATCAACTGGATCAAGTATGGCGCATGCCCTAGGCGCGCTGCGGATGCTTTCCACTACATAGTGTTATGGATGAACTCAATTTTATCTCATAGTATGGGAGCTATTGCCACAGTATTAATGATCTTTTCTTTAGGATCTATGTCAGCAATATCCCCTTCAGCTATCGAGATGTCGACCTCATTCAAATGTTTTCTCCGTAAGTTCTTATCATTTTCCTACTGAAGTCATGAGTGGACTCGGAACAGTTGTCTACATCTGGCTTTTCGTTGTATTTATCCAGATTTTGACGAACATTTCAAGCAACCTGGAAAATTAGAACTTATGAGGATGCGGCAGTACAGAAAAAGTACGAGCGCATTTGAGATGATGTACTGTTCCGCAACAGCCTTTTTAGTTGATTCTAAGTTTGCTGCAACAACTGAGAATAAACAAAGTTTACAAAGTATTTGCTTCCCCTCCCCCTCCTCTCCTGTAAAAACTGTGTGTACAGAGTAAACACATTTTGGGGATCATCTGATATGTTGTTTTCCAGATTTGGCAAAGTATCAAATGCTGAAGTGGTAATGAATGAAAGGGGATCGAAAGGATTTGGATTTGTGACACTCGACAGCAAAGAAGCCAGTGAAAAAGCACGTGCTGCTCTCCATGGAACTGTTATACAAGGCCGCGTCATCGAGGTACTAACTGTTGTTTTCTGTTTACATCTCTGACTACATAAATTGACATCGGTTTCAAAATCTTTATTCTGCTTTCACAGGTGAAAAAGGCTACTGCTATGCGTCGACCTTCTTCGCAAAATCGCAATGCACAACAAGCACTTTTGCCTGGCATCTTCTTACCTCCAACGGTTACGCGTAACCTCCCAATCTCTTCGAATGTTGCAATGCTGAAGCCGGGTTTGCTGTCGCCTCAGGTCACACCATATCTCAATTCGGAACAACTCGCAGCCGTCTTGGCCGCACAAAATCAATTAGGACTCCAACGTAAGTGAGGTCGTCAAGTTGAGCACGAATTAACCATTTTTGCTACACTTTAAGAACCTCTACGATTTTGAACGAATTGATTGATAGAGTGTTCTCAGGTCACATCCATAGTAGGGTAGATACACACTTTTGCATTGCTAAAGATTGTTATAAGGTTAACACCATCAAATACCATTACGGATTGCATCTAATTACGAATCACAAACTTCTGGGTAAGAAGGAGAAAGAGAGTGAGGAGAGGAGCCGAAAAACCACGATAGGATTACCTGCCACTTTCTTCCCTGACTTGGTTTATAGTCGATCTCAGGTGCCGCCAGAGTCGCTACATGATGCTGATTGTGCCGGTAACTTGACTGAACGGGTCAGAAAGTATATTTTCTCTGCCCCCCCCCCCCCGTTTTTCTGGACTTTTTACTTGTTGCTAATTCACATCCTATCTTTGAAGCAGACGTATGCCATAGCGCGGAAACCAACAATTCGAATGGTACATCCTCCTAACAAGAAATAAAAAGATTTTTTCTAGCTTTCTTCTCAATAAATCATATTTTGTTCCGTTTATGATTTTTTCTGTATGTTGGAAACATTGATCAATGACGCTTCATGCCAGCTTTCCCGAACAAGTTGACTCGAGGGTTCTGGCGCAGTTCTAGCGTCACGCCGGAACTTTGCCGCCACTTGAGGTCGATCATAAACCTTTGATTTCCCTCAGTTATTGTGCTTATACAGGGGCTTTCAGTCTGAGTGTCACGGTCGACCTTGTTCAGATCCTCGCGAGCCGCCTCGCTTGAGTCTCTCAAGTGATACAATGCCGCTTCAGCTAGGCCTTCGCGGTAGCAGATGCGGTATCCACGTGGAAGAAGCAAACGAGGCTGCTCGCGAGGACCTGAACCAGGTCGACTGTGACACTCAGATTGAAAGCCTCTGTATTTGGCTTGGAAAAAAGAAAAGTAGAAGTTTATATTATTCAGTCTCTGAAACGGGATGTAATTTTCATGAGGTATCAGGTTTTCAGAAATGGTCAATCCACTTGCTGCAAGAGATGGATCACTATCCTCCATGCTCCTCCCCGGCCAACTACCTCTTCAACAGCCAGCGCTTGTGGCGGGAACTTTACCGACATATCCATTAGGATTCCAATCAGTTCCATTGCAACTGGTTTACGCATCACCATACCAATCAGCTTTCAACGCCGCGGCAGCAGCTCCACACCTTGCTTCGACTGCCTCTGCCACGATGATGCCGATCTCAGCTCCGGGTTTGTTTGATTCACGACTTCACAGTATAACTTCACAGATGCTTTATAATAATGGTAACTTTTGACATAAGACACTTTCACTCGATATTTGTATTGATTTTGCAGGTGCTTTCTCCGCAAATTTGTTCAAGGCGCAAGCGCAACAACAGGCAGCAGCAGCAGGGTATTTGGACGTGCTTGGATCGCTTGGTATCGGAGCTGGAATCGTTCCGCCAGGTCGAGCCGTGAGTTTGATTATAAAATTTACATGCATGGGCTGCATTCGGGCGGTACTTAGGCTCCTCTGCGGATAGACAATTCTCAGATTCCTGCTCTTCGCTCGCTGGATCAGTCTTGTGTAATTGACACGTCGTTTCATGGAGAACCACTGAAGGAGGGGCAGTTTGGGGCCATTGGAAGAGCTGTACCTTCCAGTAAGTTCATTCTTTTCTTCATGCAAAATGAGCAAGTCTATATCAAATTCTGGCAGAATTTCGTAACGTTTTACATTTTGTGTTTTTGCTATTGTGTTTACCCGAGCACGGAATTTTTTGTGCACACACTGTAGAAAAATGTTGTGTCTCCGCAGTTTCTGCCAAAATTTTATTTAGCTGCTTATGGCGGTTATCCTATTACACTGGAATTCGCTAGTTTGACAGCATGCTTGGCTGCAGCGGTGTCATAATGCTAACGGCTTTGGTCTTATTGCACATGTGAATTTGTTCTGCACAGTCCCAAAAAACGAAAGGCACTTTCTGCTATGCGTTGTCATCTAGCATTTCGAGAGTTTGATAGTAAATGTATTTATTTTGAGAACTATGAGCATGTTACACCTCGAGTGAATCTTGCAGTCTGGTGTGATAGAAGAAGGCGGTTAATATCGTCCAATTTGTATATTCTATAAAAATCGGTCTATGTGAATAACTTACCTCGCAGGTTTGCTTGCCCCTTGCGTGGAGCCTTTTGATTACCGCAGCATCTGGAAATTGCCCGGCATCCTACCAGCTCTCACTTCGCTGCGCTGGATTCTCAAACCCTTATTATTCGATACAGATCTCTAAGCAATCTTCGTTCACTTCATGAACACAGTGCAATGGCCCTAGTGAGCCGAGAGACAGAGCAGATCAGATAAAGTTAGTTACACAGATGAAGATGAGGTCTTTGTGTAAGTGCCCTACTTTTTGAATTAACACTGGCAGGGGATGGTCATTTGGGATCTCTCAGGTTAGGCAAAGGCTATGGAAAGTATAGCACTCTGAGAGTGACTGAATTGTTCGCAGAGCTAGAAAGCTTGTAATTTTGCTGCCGAAAAGAGTCTGACAAAGTCGAGGGGGGGGGCGGAAACATCGCTCAACTCATCCGTCACTGTTTGACGCCATACGGACTCGGTGCGTCTGCAATGCGGATCTAGTCGCATGCGTTCTTTATGCGAGCTGCCGCAACCATCTTGCTTACGAGTTTCCTCACGGTTGCACCCGTGATTCAAATTCTGCACCTCTAGCTCGGTCCTTATCTACGAACGGGGTACGAGGACCACATACTGCTAAAAAAGGACACAAACAAGTGGCAGCAAAACCGCGTGCAGTGGCGGAATATCTGGCGGGAGTGTGTCGCGCGGTGAGCTACTATAGACCTAGCGTTGGCTTGAGTGACGAGCGATAAGTAGAATGGAAGTACCTGGAAACAAATGCGTACTTCATTTTGAAGTGTTCTATATCAACTTTCGGCCACATCATACTCCTTTTTGACAATTTTTATTTGCTGGAAATATGTCTAGAATTTACTACTACTGGGAACTTTTTTCTAATAACTAGTGTGTTTTCTCAAGATTTTTATTGAATCAAGAATTTCCGAAACCGACATTTGGTGACCTCGTGCACGTAAAAGCGGAAAATGCCTTTTGTTTCGGTGTTTTCCATTGGCGCTGTTCTCAAATGTTCTTTTCTCAGCATCCATTAGCAACGTCAGTCAAGTGAGTACGGGAAGCACTGATTTTCCCCAGCTGTCCTCTATGCCCCTGGATGAACGCGGGTATGGATGCCTTACTGATTCCACTGATGGAAATTCTTTCATTCCTCCTTATCGTCAATTTGATACATCCGTCGATCGCAACGGTCGAAAACGTCAAAATACTATCGATGACTACTACCTCAGTAAAAAGCAGGCCAAATCAATGTAAACTTCTTTTCTGTATTGTTCTTCTTTGTCACCAATGAGCTTTGATGCACGAGCTTGGTTGTTCTCGTTGGCATGTGCTTGATTCTCGCTCGTATAACTTTCGTTATTGAAATGTTTCATAACAGAAACCGAGCTAATCAAGAGTAGTCACCGTAGTTTTCCAGTTTGTTACCTTCATATTACTTTGCATGCGAAATTTCATTCCTCGGTTTTTCCAAACCTCCTTCTCATTTCCGAGTTAGTTTTGCATGTAAATTGCTCACATTGTAAAGAATAGATTTGCTGCAATAAAAGCTTGTCAATTATAGGATCTTATAGATTTCACGCTATTCTTCTCTTCCTCGTGGAAGATCACAATTATAGCAACAACAGCAACATCGTAAGTCTCCGACAGGTATAGTTTACTCTATTTTAGATAGCCGAAATCAGACAAAAACCTTATCTTTTCCAATATTTCTTTGAACATATTCGTCTTCCACAGGTTAAGAGTGCAGAAATAGTGTCAAGCAGCAAAGACCTTTTCTGGCAGTGATTCAGATGATAAGCACAAGTACCAGATAAATTAGCTAAAAATATTTTCATGGAAAATATATCGAATAACTGGGTTAGTGAACTTGACCCACTGTCATACCCACGATTCTATGCATTCCCTTCGTGATTGATGCGGTGAGCAATTTTCCTTGAACTTTGTTTCACGATTAATGAAGAATGAACTATTTTTCAATTGGTTTTTGTACCCATATAAGACAATTTATTATCTACATCAATGGTGAGGTTCAATAATTAAAACTTATCACAACAATAAGAAATACAGAACTCATAGAGTAAATAGTCATAAACAAACGTAGAAATGTATCTTGTGGAGGAAGAATGCAAAGAAGTACAATGCAACTAGCAGACCGAATGTCTGATAGCTTTCGAACATTAGAATAATTTCAACAGGAACATGAGTTGTGAAGGATATGGAAAATAGACTCGTGAGTAGGTGAAACCCGTCAACTTTGTTGAGATGAACTATCTCGAGATTCTCCCTCACTTCCATGCTTCTTAGAATCACTACCGTTTGTTGTTTTGAGGGCGATATTATCAGCGGTTGTACCATAGCCATCATCCAAAGTCAAATCCTGGAAGAGGAGAAACATAAGACAGACTTAATAGGGTAGCTTTGTAAACGAAGTATGCAGACCTCCTGAGCTGATCGATTAGCGGCTTTTTCGTTTTGAGCTTCACGTGGGGCTTCTACACCAGATAGGAAACTCTCATTATCATCTACAACAAGTGCACGGAAATTCTTCGTCTCGTCTACATCATCTGTCATGGGCCGTGCAGCAAACGAAGAGTCAAAATGAATTGGCCGAAGCAATGAGAGGTCGCACTGCTCTGTTAGAGCCTCACCTACAATAATCTCATATAGCGAGAAAAATCAACAGCATTAAGATAACTGATTTATCAACAAATAAGGTCTTATGTTGAACACACCTGCTCCTGTGATAGATTCAACTGCGCTGGTCGAAGGTGTCGCAGTGCTACTTGGTAGAGGTGGAAGTGTTGGCATCATCGAGCTTCTATTTTGTATATGGGTGGACAAGGGCATGGAAAATGGATAAGCACTGGTTCCTGATAGGTGCCCATATCGATAATGAGCTAGTTCCTAAAAGTGCAAATCTAAATGAATATGATGTGAATAATATACTAAGAATCGTTCCAGCAAAACTAATCTATAAGTGGAAAGAGAGCACTTTAGGAATGATCGAACTTACCGCTTCTAGCTTTCGAATCTTTTCGACATCCCTGTCATGTTGCTTTGTAAGTTGCTCAATTTGTCGAAGAAAGACCTTAAGTGAGCAAATTAGTTACATGCGGAGCAATACACAAGATCTGTAGAGTACATTTTCCGATTCTTCTTTGGCTTTGTATATTTTCTTCCATTCTGCCTTGTAATACATATGTCGTTCTTCTGCATGCTTGTACTTCCGCATGAACCTTCGACAGTTGTTGTCTAGCTGCTGTAACATAACATTATATTACACAAGATGCAAAAATACGCATAAAATGGACAACGATTATAATCAGAAGATTTGAATTCAAAGAAAAAACTGCCAAGAACAAAAGTATAAGACACACCATCAATTTGTCGTGCATATTCCATTCTTGATCATCAGACTCCTCCAATTCCTCATTGAAATGAGAGTTTCTTGGATAGTTTCCGAGAGGAGATGGATCACCGCTTCCATATTCAGAAGTATCCCATGTGGTTCTGCAAGATTATAGAAACTGAACACATGGTATAGCTTTCAAGCAAATCGAGAAGAACTAGAGAAAAGACGGTAATTACCTCTTATTTCTGTATTTTCGGTCAGAACAATCGAGTCGTTCGCGTTCTCGCCGATCCCGAGATGATCGGATTTCGGTCTCAAAAGACCGCTCCATTGCGTCATTTCGGTAGCTCTCTTTATATCTAGAAATCATCAAGTTACCTTCTGCGCATAATTATGTGCAACGTTCGCATAGAATTTCAAAGAAGTATGCCTGAGGACAGATATTAGAAAAGTTAACAAAGTCATGTAAAGTTTCAGATGTGAGCCTTTTTTTAGATAAAGTTCAGAAAAATTTAGTTATTGAAAAAATTAAAGAAATAGCAATATCAGATGAATTCGTTTACTACTTCTTATACAAATCATTTGGAATCTTACCCTCCCGGACAACTCATTGGTCCCTTGTGTAGACGAGGAGCGGTCACAGTGTGATAGGGTGCGGTCGCCGGTATGTCTTCGTGAAAACGAGCCCGATCGCCTTTGAAGCCGGCGCTCCTTGATGAAGACATGCGCAGTGAGCGCCGATAAGCCTCTTCACGGTCCTTCAGTTAAGAAGTAATTCAGATTGAGATTGAAGCAGATAAAAGAGATGAAGACTAACCAAGTCACTGGGCTGCAAATTCTCCTTATTTGTCTTCTTGCTTCGAAATAACCGATTGAATAACGACATCTATATCTGTAAACAGTTTGAAACTAAGTTTGAATTTCGAATGAAAACTTATGCATGAAGCAGAGACCGTAAGATTAGAATCTGCTGAGGTTCGTTGGATTGAGAGCTTGGTATACATGAAAAAAAAACCGCAATCATAGAAGAGGACAGCGTCAAAAGGAAATGAATGTCGATGTTGATAAAACCCTCCAGACTTGTAAAAATAATTGCCGAAAAATTCCGATGAGGTTTTTGATGTTTTTCAAAGATACTAATATCGTAGGTTTGCTTGGAGTATTAATCAAAACTGATCATCAAATCATACACGGGAAAGTTGTGCACCGAAATGAGGACTTGAAAATGGGAACAATCAAGCTTTTGGTGACAACAGTGACTGCGAAACTGCAAGATAACCACGACACGAATTTAGTATATATCCAGTACGTCTTATTGATTCGGCACTTCAACTGAAACTAGTCTCTTATGTTTTATTTCATAAAAAGCAAGCATATATTTTCTTAGCCGCCATCTTCGAAAAAGTTAGGTACTTGCAATCAACAAAGACACTAGTTTGTGCAGGAGGAAAGAGTTGCGAAAAGCAAATTTATGATCGCCAAAAAGCAAACACAAAATTCTGGACATCTACTCCAAACGGCAGCAAAATGCCAAAAATTTTTTTAGCGGGAATAGAATGCTTTGTGAAAAAGGTCTGCTCGTCATTCAGCAGAAATCCCTCTAATTTGCTTTTCATAGCGCTTCCCCGAAAAGTCCGCCCATTCATTAAACTGCGCAGTGTTTTGCGCATAGGAACGAATTCATCGATCGTACATGGCACAACTCGAAGATGCCTTTGACAAAGTTTGATAAAAGATACCAAGGATCATTGATAAAGAAAACCAGATCAATATTCAGTGAATTAAGAGCGACTTTCAATAACGGATGCTACTGCAAGATGACTTGGAGAGAAGCTAGTTTGTCGAAAACGAGAACCAGTCTCAAATCAAATCCACAAAATCAAGAAAAACAAAAACAAAGACTATACGTTCAAGTTAGTCTTCTTGAGAAATGCGAATGTCATTCCAATTACATACCAACATCAACGACCGGCATACATCGAATCGATCGAGTGTTTGAATAGGAAAGGAGTCCGGAGAATGGCGGGAGGGTCAACGCTTCAAAGAGATGCCGCCACTCTGAGGCTATCCACTAAGGTGGAATTAGCTGCGAACAAAAACGTATGAGACCCTTACCGAAAACGACGACAGTAGTAAAAGCTGCTCTGGAGTCGTAACACTGAGCATTCGACTTCGAAATGTGGGGAAAATATTACCAAAGCAAGATGTTGTGGTTTGATGACCTTAAGGATTCACATGAAATGTACAAGAAAGCAAACCGAAAGCATTCCTAAGTCTCCTGAAATGCGAGCTAAGGCCATTTGTTCCACCTGAAATGCTACCACGCATTGTCTAGAAGTTAAAAATGGTTATGTGAATCGCAGGTAAAGAGAAAAGTGCTTTATAACAAGTCCAAATTCAAATGGTTCAATAATTATGATTGTGGGAGTTTCATGCGCTCCTCTTATTAGAGGCAAACATGATCTGACCTCATGTCCATCGTTTTCCCCATGAGCGTAATCTCCCTATTTTTGAGTAGATCCTTTGGCAAAGCGATTGGCCTATCTCCGTCAAAAATCTGTATTTGCTGTTATACCCGTGCAGTGTCATTACCCAAAATAACACCCTACTAGAATTCTAGCACTGGTGGACGGAAAAAATTTGCTCTTTCTCAAATTAAGCACATGTGACTACAATGTCGAATGAAGATATGAGCGGCAATGAATGAAAAGTCCTTTGTTCACTTTTACGGTGCCGCTTGAAAACTCATTGAAATAGATAGTCTACTTACTATCTTTTCCAAATCGTGATAATACAAGAAATCAGAATCGTAGAAGGTTCTGTTGTCAAAAAGAGAGAAGAACACACCTTATTTGAAGTCGACAAATTGATTAATAAGTTGAGTGAAAGATTTTTTTGAAAATGCTAAGTACTGTTCATGGTATAGAATAAAGCCTAATTCCATCTTTACTAGCAAAGCAGGCGACGCAAATTACGGTGAAAAAACTGATATACGAAACAGTGACGTTTGCTGAGTTATCAAACTGTCATTCTGTCATTGGAAAAGCTACTATCTTCTTATCGGCCGGAACAAAGAATAAATCACTGATAAAACCACTATCAAAATGTCAACGGTCAGCACTACTAGGTTATAGGAAAACCAAGAAGAAGTGGTGATGGTGATCAATGATTTATACTTTCTTCACAGATGAAAAACACGATTTTGATTTCGTGTGACAATATAAAGTTGTTTCCGCTGACGCAGATAAGTCAGATTTATTGAATGAAGAAAAGCTCGATGTGTAAAGACTGTGGAGTGCAAAAGCAATCTGCGAGAAGAGGCTTGCTAGAACGAATGATTCGATGATTTGCACAGGAATGCGATCGTAACCCATGCGAAAAACAATCGAAACAGATCGGAGCGCTTTTTACTGGAATAGCAGCATGTCTATTTGTTTAGCAGCAGTTTTTCGGGAATACGCGCAAAGAAAAGCTACAGAAAATGGTTACTTCTTACTATGTACATGGTTATGCAATGACGGTGATATGAAAAAGCACTCGACGACGACATAGTCACAGAATGGCGAGATCAAGTGTGAGAAAACCAGCAATCAACGATGAAAAGTGGAAACGAGGACACCGGTCGCCATCACAGCCCCCATCACTTTGGTTCTGTGAATCGACGCCGCCTTTGAAGTCGCCGTCAACGCGGCGTCGGAAGCGAATTTGAATCTCCCGCCAAGCGCTCGGGCGCAAGGGGAGTCCCCGTTGGGCGAGACGAGCGGCAGCATCTGAGGGCCGTGCGATGGACAGCCGGCACCGGACCATGCCTTTGGCTGCTGATGGCCCTCAAGCTTGGCATCTGGTGAAGTGAGAGGATGTCAGCTGATCTCATGATGAGAAAGGACATTAGCTTTTGTTGGGTATGGTTTTTAAACCCAAGATTATTTCTTCACTCAGCTTCACAAAAAATGACAACATATCAACTATTCTGAGACTACGAAACTCAAATACGCTTTTCACACATTGTTTGAACAAGTTTGAACCTGTTCTATCCTGCTTGATAGATAGTTTGAACAAGTTTTAACCCGTTTTTTCCTGATTGATATGTGGTTCAAGATAAAGTAGATCACAAGTATAAACTCGTTGAACACTGTTTCAAACTTGTTCAAACGGAATGTGTAACGTACTACTCGAGTCTCCTAGTCTCAGAAAGATACAAACAGAGATTTTTTAGGCGCTATCTCATGATGACAGGCAGTGAGGACTATTTAGTAATTTGATAGCTTTCACCTCATGAAATTTCCTTTTTCCTTTGCACCAGAATATAGCGAATTGCGCGAATATAACAGTGCTGAATTTCGCTGAAACTGGAGTGCAAAAACTTCAAGCTTTAGTGCAGCCAAAAATCTATACCATTAACATAAACTGAGATAGACTGTGCAATTTCACGAAATGGCCAGTATTCTATTCTACGTTGAATCTCAGACTTTATTGGGTTTTTGTGATTGTGAGCGGAGGAAGTAATATCCTCCAGATGTTTTGGTTGACGCTTAGAGTGAGCAAAAACTAAAGTAAAAACGTAAGAATGCATTTTTCATAGGAGACGCCTTTGCTTAGCCAACAAGAACCTAGAAATTGTGGGGGGTGCATCCTCACATATAATATTAAACCAATGTAGGGTTCATGTATAAGAGACAGCAGTGATGCAAGAGATTTGCAGAACTTAAGTAATCAAATTATTGCTTTAGCGCTCGAGGCGAAAAGTTTTTTTTTCATAATTTTGCTGCGTACAGGACATACATGTTGACAAAATTTCCTACGAAACGCTTGAAATTCTCTCCCATTTGTCACAGCTGTCGTTAATTTTACCAAGTAATGATTCAAGAATGTAGAGAGATCGCCTGATTTACTGTCGTGAACTTGTGCTGAAAAGGAGTCACTCGAGCTTTGAAATTCAAATGACGATACAGTTTTGATCTTTTCAAGGAAATACCAATTTCTCTGTTCTTGCGTATGTATGAAGTTTTTGTTCATTTATTCATGTTTATAGTTGCAAGCAAATGTTTGAGAACAAGAGATTAGTCATTATGTAAGAAGCTCGTATGTGCAGTTTGTAGAAGTCAGGTCAAACACAATGGAGACTTACTTTATGACTCTTTAGTGCATAGAAAATATGTAATTCTTAAATGCATGAAGGAAACCCCCTATCGATCCAGGATTTCAGTGAGCCAGAAGATTGCATTGATGAAGCGGTTAGAACCCTCAGTATTCTTGAAATTTTTCGAAATCAGGTCTTCTAATGCGAGAGTGATAGATTTTTTCTCAGCTATTAGTTTCCTGATAATATTCAAATGTTGACAGGCACCAATCTAGTTCAGTTCAGTTCAATCTGCGTTAGTTCTTGATTTTTTTTCAATCTAGAATAATCACTGGACTGGAAAGCACGAAAATCTTACTTTAAATGTTTTATGCATAGCTTTCACAATTACTCTCGTATCTTATATATAAAGCTGAATGTCTGTCTGTATGTATGGCTGTACGTATGTGCGGAATAGAAATTTTCACTTCTGAATAAATTTGGAACAAACTTGGCACACATATATTTCGGGGCGGGGAGCGTGTCATAGGCTACTTCTCGTCATCGGTCGATATCGATTTTATCGATTTTTTGCAAAGTTTGAGCTACGGGGCTGGGAATTGGCATAGGGGGGTAATTGAGCATGCTGATTACGAATGTATTATTGACAGGGCCGGGCGGAGCCGGGTTTGTCAACTAGTAATTATATAAATATGCACTTTGTCTTTATAAATCAAATTCTTACGTAGTATTTGCAGAGTCCAGAACCCAGTTCAAGTATGGATACACTTATTGCAGCACTCATCAGCACCAAAATACATTGTCTCAGACAATGGATCGGACCCCTCCGCTGGGCAAGCCGAAACTGCCAGACTCGCGCCGGACCCAATTGACCAATGAGAGCGGGGCAAATGGGCGGTCCCTCGCGTGACATCACTGCCAGGCAAATGGGAGGCTTCTCCGGCCCTGCTGCAAAGGTCCGCCATTTCTCCGGCGCGACCCTGGCAGATTTGCCAGGCTCGCGCCGGACAAATTTGTCCGGCGCGAGCCTGGCAAATCTGGCGGAGTCGCGCCGGAGAAAATGGGAGGGGTCCGGAGCAGAAATGGGAGGCCTCCGGAGCAGAAATGGGAGGTATCCGGAGCAGAAAATGGGAGGTCTCCGGAGCAGAAATGGGAGGGCTCCGGAGCAGAAATGGGAGGGCTCCGGAGCAGAAAATGGGAGGTCTCCGGAGCAGAAAATGGGAGGTCTCCGGAGCAGAAAATGGGAGGCCTCCGGAGCAGAAATGGGAGGGCTCCGGAGCAGAAATGGGAGGGCTCCGGAGCAGAAAATGGGAGGTCTCCGGAGCAGAAAATGGGAGGTCTCCGGAGCAGAAATGGGAGGGCTCCGGAGCAGAAATGGGAGGGCTCCGGAGCAGAAAATGGGAGGTCTCCGGAGCAGAAAATGGGAGGTATCCGGAGCAGAAAATGGGAGGCCTCCGGAGCAGAAAATGGGAGGTCTCCGGAGCAGAAAATGGGAGGCCTCCGGAGCAGAAAATGGGAGGTATCCGGAGCAGAAAATGGGAGGTATCCGGAGCAGAAAATGGGAGGCCTCCGGAGCAGAAAATGGGAGGTATCCGGAGCAGAAATGGGAGGTCTCCGCCGGAGAAATGGGAGGGCTCCGCCGGACGAATGGGTGACCCACCGCTGGGGAAACGCCGCGACCCTGCCATTTCCCCAGCGGAGGGGTCCGATCCATTGTCTGAGGTGGCTAAAGCATCGGTAAATTCAAGAGGGAAATCCGCATTACGCATTTCTACTAAAGTGTTTCTTATGTGACAAATCAACAAAATTTGATTAAACAGTTTTGTGCTTGCTAACATCAAATATGAATCAGGCAGCTTTTTTTGAACTCTCTAAATTTTTGCAGTGCAGACCCGTGCGAAAATCAGGAGTACTTATAAAAATGCTTTTTGAAAGCTGTTACATATTGCAAGTTTTTTTTTCGGGAATTATGCATTCCACTGGTTTATCTTGGTTGTGCAAGAACATTCTGTTGGCGCATGGTTGGCGACTACTAATTTATGGATTACCAAACTGTAGCTCATTCATTTGATATGATGATCGCGAGATCATGAGTATTGCATATTAATATTTTTTAAGAATAAATCAGCCCATTTCCATCACGATAATATTGAAATATATATAGTTCATGCACACTAAAACATGTCGTAGATCACCTGTTCTTCTATGCAAAAGCCTATAAAATTCTTGAATTTGCGCATAAAAACATATTTAGAAGTTCGATCACATAGACGAAGTGAAATTCATGGATATTAAAGCTGCTCGTGATTTTCATGAACTAACACGTCTGGTTCCGATCAGTCAAGTAAACAACCACGCAGTTTAATGCGCGCTCGCACATATGGTCATCGGTTCGGCGCCAGCACAGCACGGCCGATCTTCATTCTCTGGATTCCTGTCAACGTTTTTATTCTGTGCGATCCTAATTGGATCTTGTAATTATCTTACAGAAGGACGAAACTGGACTCAAAACTATTCGACACTATTAACCGTTATCTAGCAATCTCCTCTCCAAAATAGCTAATTTGACATGCCGTTTGAGTTTTGCAGCCAAATTTATTAGATTTTCTGACACTGGTGCCTTTCGCCTAAGTGATTCGGCTGCATTGAACAAGAAAGTATCATTTATTAGGTGTTCATAGGCTCTAGCAAACTAAGAAAGAACGTATTTCGTGAATTTGTTTAGTTCTCATCAGGGCTCAGCAAAGCTAGCACCATTTCAGGCTGAATACCGTTTTTGGACAAAAAGCAAAGGGAATAGCACATTTTTGTGGCCGAAAAAACACGGGATGTTTCTTTTTTAGGTTTTTTAAACGTTTAGGAGCGTCAAAATGGGACTTCGTACGAAATTTTCAAGATCAAAGGGGACTTCGTTTTGAAATTTCCCTGGTGCCAGATCGTGCCGAGCCGTGGTTTTTTATACAAATCACAGAAACTCAGCAAGGTCTTCAAGCACTTAATTAACCAAAGTACTTCGCCATTTTTCAACAGCATGGCATCGCACTAAAATTTGACTTATGGCCGTACTTGTAATGTTTCTTTTGCTAGAATTTTTAAATTTGACATTAGTATTAATATAACGTATCAGCATAGCTCAAAATGCCATAATGCCATAAAAGAATACGCTTGATGAAATTTGCTACACTTATAAGGCTTACATTTAGGTGTAGAAGTTGAAGCTTATTTAGCAGAAATTTTCCTTTAACGGATTCTGGGAAACACGTACTTTTTGGTTTGAGATTTTATTTCAAAAAACCAGGAAAAGTGACGTCTGTACGCTCTTTTTAGGTTAATTGGGGAATCGTAACTTGAGTTATTCATTTAACATGGCAGCTGAAGTTTTGCGACAATAATGACATTAAAATGTGAAAATTTCCGTACGATTTTTTCTCAAAAGGTTCACGTGATGTTGGTTAATCCCAGCAAAAATAAGTCCTATGGAAAGATGTTGCAAAAGGTTTGCTTTCAGAAAGTGATTATGCGTATTCTGATTTTGTTCGTTTGCGTGACAGCATCGTTATGCTGCAGATGCAGACTTGTTCCACCAAAGGAGGCTTATTGTAACGCCGATTGGGGTGGGATAATTCTATAATACCGTAATCCCTTGGTAAATCAAATGATCTTGCAGTTTCCCTTGCCAAAGTGACTAATTCAAGCATAATTAAAAACGATGACGCTTTGGAACAACGCCAGTATACAGTGAAGCATTCCGAAGTATTCAAGGTGAACTTTGTGGACGGATAAAAAAAACGCAAAATAAAGACATCTGGCTTTCAGAAGCCTGAAGAATGCGATTCCTTATCTGAGAAAATATATACTTCAACACAATCAGCTTCTTGTGGTGTAGAACTCGAGATTGGCAAAGAGTATCTGCTTGCAGGTCTGTTATCAAACCATGTAATTAGTGTAAATTAGTAAGTCGCTTATAAATATAATACTAGCAAATTCAGGAAGCTATAATGATAATAAGCTCCATATCATTACTTGTGGACAGCTAGCCTCCAGCGAAGAATTCTTTGGGTTGATTATGGAGCGAAAGGACATTACGGAAGAATTCTTGAAGCAAATCAGAGGCTACAAGTGCTAGATTGTGAACAGCAAAGATTTTACTCGACATCTTGTGAAAGCATCGCTCTCGAATCTATCTCCTGATAAGTTTCAATAAATGTGTTCCTTCGTCACCACTGATTAGTAGGAAACGTATCACAAATTTTGGTAGACAAAGCTATCTCTTCTTAGCACTTGACGGTTTTTGGGAAATCCCAACTCGCCATGGAATTCCTGACGTGATACTGAATGGATCGTTATTCTCATAATTTTTCTCTTGTTGCAGCTCTATAGGGCATACCTTATCGCTAGTTCGGTAATAATTTCTGGAATTTTATTGTGATGCTATACTCAACCAACCGTTCGATTTCATACCTCCCATTTATGAAATCATGTGTAATTCTTATAATAATTGTAATCGATTATAAACAGTTATATTATTTAATTATTTCATTATATAATGAATCTGTTGCCAGTGCATAAATCAAAGTTACAATAAAAGCATGAAACCATAGCTACATGCACTCGTAGATGAGCCGTTTTTTCAATTGCCAATGAAGAAAAGGCCCAATTCATTTTTAATCTAATTTTCGGGTACAGCCGAATGTCACAAACAAATCCAGATAATTAGAAAAATTACCTTTGAACGCGCATGTTGATTTTGTCCACACTAGCTATACAATGCCAAAGTAATTTGCAGCTGAAGTTTAAACAGCTATAATTTAAGCCTGAAATGTGCGGATCATTACAGAAGCTTCAAATTAACTCTACAAACTCGAATGATGATGACTTACAGACAGTGTCCAGGCAAATCTGGACATATATATTTTTACCTGAAAATTGATGAGGAGGTTCCAGCTAAGGCAATGCCCAAACCACAGCGCAAACTATTCATTCACGGCTGAAAACCGTCCTCAGACACTTCGCGGCTGCGCCGTGACCGACTTAGCATGGGTCCCAGCGCGAACGTAATGCTAAAGTGAGCGAAGTCGTTTTCGGGTTACGGTCACGGCGCAGGCGCGGGGTTTTCGTGGACGGATTTCTCAGCCGTGAATGAACTATGTGCGCTGCCCCTTGGGCAGTGCCTTAGTTAGGACCCCCTCATCATTTTGTAGGCGAAAAACCCATGCGCCCAGATTCACCTGGACACTGCCTTCATAGTAAGCCGCTAACCTGTGTGTCCGTGGAGCTGCTTTGTTATAGAATTACCATGAGAAATCGAGAGGTTCATTTTTTTGTGCGAAGACAGTTTTGGAGAAAGAGATACAATTTTTTGAAATTTTCGAGCACGTAAGACTTTTGAGATCTTCGCTTTTATTACTGAGTGGGTAAACTTTCTACGAACGTTAGAAGCCATCTTGTAGAGCCTGCTTCGCTCTAACAAACAGTACCTCGAGAACTGTTTAGAATGAAAAAATAGCCATCAGTTAGCCGTAAGCAGAGTAAAAATTATGAGAGAACCAAATGGTCTTGTATGCAGTAATGTAAAATGATATAGTGCCATTAGAGAAATAGTAGTTGTTTATCCAAGGAGGCACTGTGGATTTGGGAGTGGTACCAAGACCGTCAAGAATCAGCAACTTTGTGATTACATGTGTGTTCATCGTCATCACTGAATACTGAAGAACCTAAGGCCAGGCAGGTACTGAAATCATCTACCATTTTTCCTCAGCTGCTTCCGATGCAATGCCGGTAAACCCAACAAAACTATGTAAAAATCAGGGACATCTAGCGGAAGTGATTTCTAATCAAGTGCTTTTTTGATTGGTAAAGTCGTAATTTATTCAGAAACTTGTTGGCGCAGTCTTTGAAGCGTGTAAACACGATTTCTGACGTTTATTAGTAAAATCTAGAATCCAAGCCATGGTATTGTGATGATCACGAAGGATCATAGGGTAATCATGTTTTTGAGCTGTACAGGAATAAATCAGCTCGAAGCCGCTAGAAATCCTTTTTATAAACTTTATGCACTCTTCAGACAAAACATGACTTATTTCTTGCTTATGGAGATAATTTTGTCAAGCACTTCAATATAGAAAACAAGTTTTAAATATGCTGGTCGTGATCTCGTCCATGGATTAATGTTTGGTTGCGATCAGTCAAGCAAACAACCCCACAGTTTAGTGCGCGCTCGCACATTTGGTCATCGCTTCGGCACACCAGCACAGCACTAACTCTCTTTTTTAAAAATCTCATCGCATTTTTCGTTAGAGGTATTTCTACTTTATTTCAAGAAATATTACGAGAAGCTATCAAGCTAGTCCTCATCCTTACCATACTACAACATTTGACAATCTTTTTTTTTCAAGTTGAAAGTTATTTTATGTTTTCGTAAATAAGATATCAATAATTTCCTGAACAACATTGTTTATGTCGTCTTTTCTTGATGTGATGTGTTGCTGGACATTATTCTGATGTTTTTATTTTTTGATGACTACGCATGCGCCACGTGTCAAGAGATTAATCTTCACATCTTCACATCTTCCCTGAAAGTGTTCAAACTTTATTTTTGGTGACGTCACAAAGCTGCTAGAGCATTTTTTGCTGGAAATATTAACACCAGGAGTTAGTTTCTAATAGAACATCATCAACAACTGATGTCAGAAGTATTTTGGTTGCCTCATAACGAGGACCCCGCTCTTGAATCGCTTCCCGATTGAGATCATCGTGTATTGCTGAGCAATACACTTTTGCAGAAAAATTGAAACGATAGATGCCTTTCACCTAAGAACGTAATCTTATTAGGTTGTCCCAAAAGCAAACCGTATTTTTAGATAAATCAGATTGTTTTTGTTTTCCTGGCAGACTTGGGGTATCTTTCGATAGAGCGAAGCAAGCTCTGTAAAATGACCACTAAGGATCCGCCTAAATTGCATTCCATGTAAAGCTTGAAGCCAAAATCGGAGAAATTTATTACTTGAAAATTGGATTTTTGCGAAGAATAGTCGTGCAGAACTCAAACTTGATTAATATACAGTAGATAGATACATAGTAGTACTCAAATATGCTTTCACTGGATTTTTTCTGAGCTTGGTAAGCGAGAAAAAAGAGACAGTCTGAAAATGGCAAACTCCGCCCCCAGCCACTCCCACCTATGTTATTCTATACTAAAAGCCTTACCAAGTATAACCTCAAAATTTTATCCCTGGATGTGCTTTTATAATTGAGAAATACCAAGTTTTACATGGAAAACCCGAAAAAGCGGCATTTTGACATTTTGGGACCCCCTTTGTTTCTCAATTTTGAGCTCCGGAAAAAATCAACCGAAAATATTTTTCGGTACTAAGGTATTTACTATATAAGGACCACACAGCAGTTGGAAGTCCGTAGGAATTTTCTGGAAGGAGATCAGGAGAGGCAAAAAATTTTGATTTTTTTTAAATTTTGATTTTGATTTTTTTGGACTCAAATTTTACCTCGATAGCGACTCAATGTTAGACGATTCTTTGGTGGTTTTTGTGAGGCTTGCTTCGCTCTATCGAATGGTTCCCCAAGTCTGCCAGGAAAACAAATGCACTTTGATTTATTTAGAAATACGGTTTACTTTTGGGAAAAAGTAATAGTAACCGTTAGCATATTCGATTCTCTTTCTCAACTAAAGTAAAAGCTAGTTTGAAGGCTTGACGCTTTCATATGTCTATTTATGTGCAAAGATATAGTATTGAGATTCTAGGAGACATTATTCAACACTGTAGCTGCTAATTGTGCATCATGGTCGGTAGTAATCCCCCCGACCTGGCGGTAGGTCTCGTCGGCAGGTCGCTGGCACCTTTTCCGTGAGGTGGCCAGAAAGTGAAACCCAAATTTAGGCGATCCCAGGCCTATTTCCAAAAAATTGTTTCGATAAAGATGCCGCCTAGACTCTGTAGAAAACTCCATAGAAATCTGCGGTTCTAGAAATCCTCCTGTGGGAAAATATCTGGAAGCGCAGAAGGAGCTGCCGGCAACTTCGCGATGTAAGTTGCCGGCAACCTGCCGACAGCTCGTCGAAATCCGCGAGCTGCCGGCGGAGTTGGCATTTTTCCGCGATGTGTGCCAACTTGCCGGCATCTATGATGCCACCAGGTAGGGTAGATTACTACCGGCCCATGAGTCTGGGGCGCTTTTGAAACGTCTTGACTAAGTTTTACTAGTATCAGTGAAAGAGGTGTTTGAAAAAATTGTCACAAATAATAATAAATGGGATGAAAAATTCTAATCCCAGTATCAAATAAGTCTTTCCTTTCTTGTTCGATTACTTTTCAATTCAACGCCGCATGGAATGTCAAGATGGTACAAAAAATTCCATATGTATTGTAATTCTTTCAGAAACATGATCACGCGTATTCTGATGTTATTCGCTTGCGTGGCAGCATCGCTGTGTTGCAAATGCAGAACTCTTCCGCCAAAGGAGGCCTACTGTCGCGCTCAGTGGGGTGAGATCTACTGTATAACGTACAGGCTATCTCAATTGCAGTGTCGTATGAAACAGCAGGTCGGTTCCCGCTTGACCGTCTCGCCTGGATCCTGCGCCGCGTTCGCGAACGTATCCTCTGATCATTTTTTCGTGCCTGAGCATGGAAAAAGGACTCATAGTCTAGCTTCAATCGTTAACTAGTCGTGGAAATATGGTCAGAAAACCTGTTTGCGAACACGTCGCAAGCCCAAGCGAGCGGTTGCGCGCCAAGCCGCTGGTGCATCCGACATAGCATTTGAGACGGCCTGTAATCTCAGGTGATAGAATGACGCTAGCATTACAGTTTCGCTTGCCAAAGTGACTAACTCAGTTATTGATGAAAGCAAGGATCCGTTGGAACAGCGACAATACGCAGTAAAGCACAATAAACTATTCAAAGTGAGATACTCAATAAATAAGATGTGTCCTATGAAAACACTGGTCGTTTTCAGAAGCCTTCAGGATGCGAATCCCTACCTGAAAAAATCTATACATCGACACAGTCAGCTTCTTGCGGTGTAGAACTCGAGACTGGTAAAGAATATCTGCTCACAGGTTTGCCTGTTTTCACTTCATTTTTGTTTACTCCATTATTCTATGCCAAACTGTATGATTCAGGAAGCTACAATGACAATAAGCTCAATATCATTACTTGTGGACAAATAGCCTCCGAAAGCTATCCTGGCATAATTATGGAGCGAAAAGATATTTCTAGGGAATTTCTGAACGAGATTAGAGGCTACAAGTGCTAAACTGTGGTACAACAAAAATTGCATTCAATAAATTTTATTAAAGCAAATTTGTCATCTGCAATGCTTCATCATACAGTTCTTCAAGCGAAACGCCTTCGTTCATTATTAAGTGGTATAAGTATCTCATTATGAATTCGACTAAGAGACGTTTGAAGATTGACATGATTTTAATATGATTAACAATGAACTTCACAGCCCTAGCATTGAATTTCAAAATTTGTAGTGACGATACAAATGATAGTATCTACTCATGAGTTTGGGCATATATGATGCAAAAAAGCGCTTTTCTGATTCAGGCAACTCCTGCAGAACTTTCTCAAACGTGTTGAGGCTCCGAATCACATTTTACTTGTTTTCGTGAACTCCAGGGTGTTGAGCAAGAATATATGATAAACCAGTATGTATTCAAGGATTACTCTTCGATCCTACAGAGAACGCAACGCTGGGTTTTTATAACAGTGAAAAATCAAGTCGTAAGAAAAGTTTGAAATGAGTCTGAGTAACCATTTCCCAAAGTCAATTTTCATAGTATCATCGGATTGGGAAAGCTCTCTTATGTCTTGCAGAAATTCCATGAAGCAGCATCAAGCTTTGGACTGCCGCTCGAATTCAGAGAGCATAATAGAGAAGTGCTCTATCACTCCGGTATCAGTAACGCATTCGTAAGCTCGGGAGTGCAATAACCTCGCCTTGCAAGGACATCTGATTAGCAAAAAAGTATTATTTCCATTTTTTTCGAGCAGGAAACATGTGGTCAAGAAGTGAACATTTTTTCCACATGAGTATTTCCGACAACAATCTTCGAAGTTTTCTCGGGAACAAGTAATGAGGGGCATCAAAGAAGCCGCATCATCCTCATGGTTCTTATGGTTAATCCCGAAACCAGATAGTGTAAAAATGTTTCAAAAAAGGTACAAACTTTTACCCTTGTTATTTTGTACACTGCCGCTAAATTCTCTAATTTATTGTGATGATAAGATTGAGCGTACATACAAATTCAGCACAAGATTATATGAGGATTTGAACATACTAGAAGTTGCAAATCAAATGTGTAGTAAGAGTCACAAATAAACTACATGCGAGATGAGTTCCGTAGAGTCCAGTCCTCTTGGCATTTCCTACCTTGGTTAAGTTCTGCATACTTTAAATCGTCGCAGGCTTCCAAAAGGAAGATTAGAAAATTCTCCTGAGTTGTGTAGTAAAGGCAGTACAGGGGTCCCACATTTCAACGAAATGAAAAAACTGCAAAACTTCTACTCTCTTGATGGTTTATTTCCGTGGATGCTGCATCATTTCAGCGAATCTAGCTGCTGTACAGGATGCGATTCCCTTCTGTTGTGGAAAGAAACAATTTTGTCGAAACACAAATAGTTGAGAGCTTTATTTTATATTTCTCTTGATATGATTTAAGCTCACAGAACTATATACTATAGTACTTGTAATGAATAAAGCATGTAAGGTGACAGAGTTTAGGTTAGGTAAAGCGGCGAGATACAAAGGAATCTACCATAGTATGGCTCACCTAAAAAGGACTTCACCTGGAAAAAGACTACATTCTACTTCATTTTGAGCAGCGCTACTTTTGATTCCATCTGAAAGCCCCGACTGTGAGGGATAATAGTAAGCGGAAGATGCAGATAGGATGGATTAATTGCTTGTTCCGCAAAGCCTTCTCACTGTGGCTCATACAAATGCATCAAACCCAGTCGACCATGAGAATGAAGTCTGTTCCTTATACGAACAGTGGAGAAGAAGTCTTTGACTTCCGTTTGCATTTCTGTTTCTGAATGAAGTGTGATAATCTCAGCTGTTCTCGTGGTTCTCGTGTTTCAAATCTGGATATAAGATTTCACTGTAAACATCAATCATTTTCTTGTTGATTTGTGGTATTTAGCCATGCAAAGAGCTTGCTTATAATTTTTTGCCATTTGACTAATTAGAATAATTACAGGATCATTTGATTTTTTTTTCAAATTTCACTTAAACACATTCTTTTGACAAAACCCTGCTGACTTGCGACTAGCTCCAAAGTTTACCCACTGTCTGGTTTTGACGGTGTTTTAATGTCTTTGCGGTAACGGCAACATTTGCGCGGGTCATGATGTTCCTGAATGTATGCTGATAACTTACAAGATTGCAACTTACAAGAGCGATAATGCAGACATAGAGTTTTCTCTGCTTTTAGCCAATCCTTACGCTCAAAATTTGTCGGCAAAATTTATCGAGTAATTTTTAAACCTATTAGACTATATCTATCACCCACTCAATATGCTTTTAACGTAGCAAGCAATGAATCAGCTCATGCCTCTACGACATTAGGCATGAGCGACAATAAGTTGTCAGACTAAGCAGGTGCAAATGAAGGTTTGAAGTCGTCAACAGAAACAAAATTTTTTTTAGGAAACTTTGTTAGCCGACATGCTCTTGATTCTAGAAATCACATCTACAGTTTAAGCATCAAGGAGCTTGCTTTGTTGCCATATACAGTGCTGGCCATAACTATGCCACCCCCAAAAAATCACAGTAATTTGCTTTGTCTTGGATAGAATTGTCTGAAAAACCACTATCCTGTGCGTAAACTGCTACATCACTGCCCAGAACGCCTCCTAGTTTCATTGATTTTGTTCGAAGAAAATTCCAAGAATTTGAAAAATGCTCTGAAGGCTGGCACAGCTATAAGATCACATCCTATCAAGCAAAGCTACACTCTCTGGACCTAGAATTCTCCATACAGTAAGATAAGTGGATGAGAACTCAGTGAACCAGCAGTTTTTTGAAAAAGTTTGACTTTCCATGCATTTTGGAGCAAAAAATCCACTTAACTTTTTTTAAAAACGACAGCTCCCAGGTGTAACTAGTGTTTCATAGTTTGATGCTGTAACTTTCGACGAGAATTTTTCGCTCGCCAGAAATTGAGTTTTTGGTTCAAAAGATTGCTTATATCCATGGTAAGGTTAGCTCAGCTCAGTGAATCCTAAAACCTTCATTCCTGTTAGATACTCAGACAATTGCATCGGAAAATTCGCGGCCTCAAAGCGTGTTACATGGCGCGCCGCGGCCCTTAAAATTTCAACCGCACACGCCGCGGCCCATGTATATTTTACCGGGAACGCCGCGGCCAAAGTTGAAATCGGGAAGAGATTACCGGGAAGGTCGCGGCCCAACCACCTCACTCGGCGGGGCGCGGGCCCTATCAAAGGCCGCACTTCTTACACGCTGTAGTTTAAGGCGCAACCCTCGTGAGGTACGTCGCACCGTTGGGGCTACCCTAAGTGTTTAGCAGTCTGGGTATCGGTTCTCGGATTTGGTCCTATCTGACAGATTTGATTTTTATGTTGATGAAATAAACTTCAGCAGTCGGATGAGTAATATCGACGACATTAGATAATGTCGACAGATGAGCTAACAAAATGCTCAATTTGTGCTCAAGTCGTTGTCATGAAAGACACGCCAAAAGATTTTTCACTCTTTCTAGGCCTCACAAGTATGCTAATCGGGACAACTATCGGGCGCTTACAGGGTGCGCCGCGGTCACTTATCGGGTCCAATTTCGGTTTATACCGGGCAGCTCGCGGCATGGATGATTGGTGGTCGAGCAAGCACCCGCGAAATTCCCGATGCGATTGTCTGAGTAAGCACATGAAAACTCAGCGAGTCAGCAGTTTTTCAAAACAATTTGACTTTTTATGTATTTTGAAGCAAAAATTCTCTAATTTTTTTTTCCAAAAGGCGACTCTCGTGCTCCCGTGTATAGCGAATGTTTCATATTTTGATGCTGTAACTGTACAAAGAATTCTAGGTCCAAAGAATGTAGTGCTGCTTGAGAATAAGAGATGACCTTATAGCTGTCATAGCTGTGGGCACACTTCTGAATAAGTTTTTTCAAATTTTTCAGTTTTTCTGGCCAAATAAATGAAATTGGGAGCCCTTCTCTGCAATGGTATAGCATTAGTTTACACAGAGGATAGTGGTTTTTCAGACAACTATAACCAAAACAGGGCGAATCACCGTGGTTTTTTAGAGTGGCGTTATAGCTACGGCTGGCATTGTATAGCATAAGCCAATACCATATGATTTTTACTTGGTAAATTTTCTTATCTAAGTTTGCCCTATTATCCAGTTATGTACTCAGTCGGCAATAACTTTCTAGTTCGTGACTCTGTCAAGTTCAAATTGTGAGCCATCTCTATTAAGAATATGAGTTAAAAAAAAGACTAAACACAAATTAAAGCGAGAAAATTTGTTGAACCATTAACTGTCTTGGAAATGGAGGTTATTTTATTGTGGGTTGGCTAATCTGCTAATCGGTGATAAACAATGGTATTCCATATGTCTGAAATTGCTGTCGTTGAGTTTTAAAAACCGATCACACCTCAACAAAGCACCTCTGTTGTGCAAGCCATGGGCTACTAGCTTCGAACAGTTTTTTTCCACATAGCATTTCCCTGTTTTGAGTTGGGGCATCATCAGAAGCCAAAATCTGAATTATGCATTTGTGACCAGATTAGAATAGTTGATGAGCTCTTGCGAGTGGAAGCCCTAAGCCATTTGAGCCAATGAAATTTTCATTAGAGCCCTAGCGATTGCGAGCAGCTCAGACCTCAGAGTGTGCTTCTCGTGCGGCAAAGTTTAGATCCTGATTTGCTTGAATGCCAGGTTACTTATCTGTTTCATATGTTCCTTATAGTCTCAGTATTCTTAAAGTTTATTCTGCCCATGTGCTTTCACATTCACAAATAAAAAAGGAAATTTGTGACTAACGTCTTTTTGGAAAATTATACTCGGCTATTTTGTATTTCAACTAACACAATTTCTTCAGATGACGAGGGTTCCTTCAGTAATTCTACTCTTTTACCTATTTGTTGGGACGTACGCTACGGTAAAGTCAAGGCGTAGTCTAGCTCCATCATTGGAGCTCGATCGCCTCTATTCGCTCCAAGACAGCATTGCGAAACTGCAAGAAGTGAACGAAAAAGTCCGTTGCCGAATAAAAGGTATGCTTGTAATCCATTTGTCATACGTCATCTGGATCACGAGATTCAGTGTCAAGTCAATTTGAAAATTTTCGTTTTGTCCACTCACTTTGAGTGGACCCCATATCTCACAGGAGAGCAACTCAGGATCTAGCAAGGGGAGGATACCAGATCGCAGTGGCGAACCGAAATGATATGCATATCATTAGATGCGCTTTGACGGGCTGATCCAAATCTACCTTTCCTATCTGTTATGAGCTTCTCTGGAAGCTCATAACAGATATGGGCGTTTGAATTCCAAATCTAGCAAACATTCAGTGACACATCTTCAAGAACTACTTGTTCAAAGACGCTTACTCATGTGTTCGGTGTATTTATGCATTTCTTGTAGTCAGTGCACTCAAAACGATGCAAATTGCTCACCCCTAAGCTCGTTTTTAAAGCGCATCAAGGGCGGACATACTTCACGCGATTTCAGTCGCGACGCGAATTGGCAATATTCCAGTTCTCCATAACTCGCTGTAAGCACATTTTAAATGTACAGAAGATAGGGCATTATATCAATCCCCGTAAGTTATACATACTATGCATGTGCAGTTTGCTAGTGTTGGATCTGGAGACTTCTGGCGAATTGCCAAATCACGTCGCGACTGAAATCGCGTGAAGTATGCTCGGCCCTTTACGCATCAAAATCCCAACAATTTCACATCTTTAAACGCCCATAGCTTCTTCTAGAGAAGCTCGTAGCTAGGAAAGGTAGGTTTGAAATCAGCTCATCAAGACGCATCTAATGATGTGCATACCATTTCGGTTCGCCACTGCGACCTGGTATCCCTCCCGTAGGATGCATTGGAGTTGGTAATTTGCTACTATTTAGCGACTGAGTTCAACAGACTTGATCGAACGATTGTAAATTTTTTGAATTGTCATCTTGACAATTCTATTTAAGTTCAAATTTCTTTATTTTTTCACCATGTGGTACACTGCAAATTGAAGCCAGCAGCTAATCTTGGTAGAGTAACTCAAGCTCTGGGAAACATTCAGAATCTAAAAATTTTTCCAACAGTTCGATTACGACTTATCCTAGAGAATCTTTTTGGTATCAAAGAAGAGACTTTTTAGATTTTTCTTATTTACTGGAAGCTCCTAGCAATACTCTAGATAGAAGCATCACCTCCTACTTCACATACTATATGTATTACAATTTCATTCTTTGATTCATCCTGATATATCAGATAACGGCTCGGCACGGGCTGGAGCCAGGAGTTGTAACGAAGTCCCCCCTTTGAATTTACAAAAATTCTACAAGTCCGGTTTGACACTTCTAGGCCCCCTCAGTCCACTACTACAGTTGGAACCGAAAATTCGTATTTGAATAATTTATCCGAAATAATCGACTATTCGAATATACGAATAATCTAATATTCGAGAAAAGATTTACTTGATTATTCAGATAGTGGATAACTGGAAAAGGCCTGTACTCGAATAATTCGTTCGTTTGACTATTCGGAAAAATGACTTATTCGAATATTTGAATTACAGAGATCGAAAGACACTTGTTCAAACATCCGATAATTCGAATGATGCATTCGAATAATCGGATATTGCAAATGAATATTGGAATACTCATTTATTCGAGCAGTCGAATTCAAGTTCATTTATTCGAATACTCGAAAGTTCCAATTTTCAAAAGTTCAATTCATTTCTCTTTTTCAAATAATATTTTCAGTCGAAAATTTTACGAAAGCATTTATTCGATATTCATTCTTTCAAAATATTTTCAAAATTCAGTTACTCGATATTGGTTCATTTGATGAATATTTCCGTCCATAACAACTTAATCCTCTACTTGGCTTTATACCCTTTATTTTGTGGGAATTTGGCCCAGAATAAAGAGAAAAAGCCGAAAACAACAAAAAGCAAAAAATCACTTCCCTCCCTCATTCTCCAAATTCCCTTCCTCTCTTTCTCTATCACTTCACCTCCCCCCCCCCCTCCAGCTATGCGAATGAGATGAACGAATCGGTGGAAAAACGAGTAGTAAGAGAGAGAAGGAAAAGTCCAAGGCAGCATAATGGACACCGAATGATTCCATCGAAAATGAATGATTCTCGCGTCGCTTGTTTGAGAACGAGTTTGGCGACGGAGCAGATTACGTCGCCAATTATTATTCGAGGGGCTACAATACAATCTAGATAAAGGTTTACGAAACGGTTTTTGTATAAGAAATTATGCAGTGAAGTAACAATCTTTGTGAAAAAGTATGCAAAATGAATGAGCAAAAGTCGGTTTAGCGCAGGTGGCCCCCAGCTGGAAACGTTCCAGCTTTCGGAAAAAGCTAAGCACGGCTTTTATTCATATAAGTTTTTATACGTTTCTGACCAAGATGGAGTTCCCTGCACATATGCATACCAAATTTGGTGTCATATGATTGCTATTTGGTTGCAAACAAGAGTTTCGTCTGTTTGGGTCTGCATGCCGGCGGCGTGCCTTCGGTAGGCCTAGAAGCAACAACGGCATGATAATCCACAAAATTGTTATCCCCTTTCCGCTCAAAAACAAAATTCAGCTTGATTTGGTTCCAGCTGCGCCGAGCCCTGTATCAGTTCAGCTATTTCTTTTTGTTGTACTCATATTCTACTGAGTTTAAGGTGTTTCAAACAAAGCTATCTGTTCCGGTTATAGGCCTCTTCACCTAGTTATATTACATATCTGCTTTTGTCTACATGGTCGCGCGATTCCCAAGACAAGCTCTTTCATTTTTGTAAGCCTATCCTATCGCGTGTGTATACTTTCCTTCAAGACTTATTTCGAAAACTAACCCTTGTCAGATATTTTTGTATAAAAAAGCTCACATCGCCATAAAAAGTTGTATGTACTCGAGTATTGCTCCAACATACCAAATCTGCTCTCAAGTTCTTCGAGTTCTGTCTAATATAACGTCACCAACGTCACCATACACTTTGTAGTATCGCTTGACAGCTGCAAGCCAACGAAGCAATACTTCAGTCAAGAACTATATTTCTTATGGTAGTATCCATTTATAGTATAGGAAGTTGGAAAACCACTGCTTCTATTATTAGGTTGTTGCAAAAATAATGTCCGTTTTTCTAGGCCTATTTTCCGAACAACTTTTTTCCTTCATAGCTTCTTTTTCGATATGGATTCTGCATATCGTTGGAAAGCTTTCTTCATGTACTTTCTAACAGTTGTGAAATTAAGCTTCTATCTCGTCTGTGAGAATTTCACCAGCATCTCAAACAGCTGCACTCAAAATCGAAAATTCGCTACCTTAACTCCCTTGGCCACAATTCAGACGCAAATGAACGGGTTCTTTTGAAAACATAGCTACTGTATTGGTTGAACATTGTTTACCTATAGCATATTTGAATAGATTTTTTTCAAAATATCTGAACCGAGAAATCGACGCCTCAAAATAGATACTCGCTGCTGGCATTCTATGGGTCCAAAGTTTCTCATAAGTAGGGCAATCGCCGAAGCTTCGCTCATTTCTGTATCCCTGAGATCAGGACATCTTTCCTACGATTTTAGCAGAAAAGCTTAGCTACTCGGTGTATGAAGAATTTCAAATTTCCTTACTTTGGGGCTTTCTGGCCTTCCACAAATAGGCTCGAAAAAGTGAAAAAATCTGAATTTCTATCTTTTCTCCCCGCAGGACTCCTTCATTAAAGTCTCTTCTAAGTAGAAATATACTACTGGCTTTTGTCTACAAAATAAGCTAATTAGCAGCCAAAGGAACAAGACGTGAAGGGAGTTGTAGTTTTACAAAGACGAGGTTTTTAAAAGAAAAACTTTCGGTGTTTTGACGCACGGTTTTCTTCCCGTTTGTGATATCAGTATATGCAGGTGCCCGTTAGGTTAAGAAAGGTTAACTGCTTCATATGGTTTTGATTGCATACAAAAATATGAAAACTGGACAAAGTTATAGCCTATCAAAGTGAAATTTTGCAAAACGGACATTATTTTTGCAACAACCTAATATTTTGATTGCCATTGTAATGAAACTTGAACTGCAATGTTTACTTTCTAAGCCTCCTGCTTTATTCTGTTTTCCTCTGAGGTAATTCTTCTCAACTCACCACTGATGAGATTCTTGAACGGTTACAGATCTACAAATTGAGAAGAAAGTATTTCAAATGAGAGCTAACAGAAGAAAAAGCAAAGAGCTGTAAGGCGATAAATGGACTGGTAGGATAATTACCAAATCGTCCCTGGTTGGAGTCGCCATTTCTGCATTCCTTTACCTCCAAGAGTGTAACCGTCATCCATCTCCTGATTTCAGCCTTATGTAGCCACCTTGAAGGAAAATAAAGATTCCCCATGTAAAAAGAAAAGACATGCTAAGGAATATTGGTGTTCTTGTAAAGCCAGTAGGTATACTGTTCATAGCAAAATTAGGAGTAAGTAAAAAGCTATTAACTCTGATCAACTAATCTACTAGCTTAACAAGTCTGCTAATAATCCATCCACTATAACGGTGATTTCAGAGTTGCGAGGCCGATGGAAGCGTTTTGTTGGACCAGCCCAACGACTCAATGATCTGATTGCACCTCTAGCTCTCACCGACGTAGAGCTAACAACAGACTGCTAAACGTTCCAATCCTTTCGTCATTTTTCAATAAAACCCTTTTCCTGTTGTCACACCTCTATGTACAACTATTGCAAAATTTGGTTAAGGATGTCAGCATAAGTTTTATTATATTAATGTTTTATAACGTCTGAAAAGCAATGATTGGTTGAGTCCTGTTTGGCCGTAAGTGTAATTGTTTTTTCCCGAAAATAAACTGTACGACGAAGCCAATCTAATATTCGATGCGTCTTGCAAATTAGCCTTGTGTCGCCATCATAGGTGCGATAGGGGGAGCCGGGCTCTCCCCAGGTGAAGGGGGTCTCGGCTGTTCCCGACCTTCCAGGGTGAAGGGGGTATGTGTGTCTAGGGGGGGGGCGGAAGAGAGCAAAGGTAAAAAAGCGTGGTATGAAGAGCTCTAATTTGTACCTTATTTAGGCACAAATTGAAAAAAAATTGAAAGTTTTTAAAAGAAATTAAAAAATTAAAAAAATTGATTATGAAGATCTGTGCTCCTGTTTCACTGAATCAACAAAAAACCAAAGCAATAAGGTTTATCCCAGAAGATGTACAAGTTAGGAACAACTTCATTTCCTGCACATCATCATCAACAATATCACTATCGCTAACGTCAGAGACAACAAGTTCGCTGCCTGAAAAATCTTCTTCTTCCTCCAAAAGGTCATCGGAGTAGAAGTAGAATTGCGTGCAAAAACGTTCCGAGTCGAAAATGAATTTGAAACTTTCTTCTTCTTCTAAGCGCTTTTGTGATTTTTTTCCTTTCCCTCTGGTAGCACCAGGAAGTCAGCAGGTAGGTACCAGTTTCTTCATACCATCTTTTAGGATATTTCAAAAAGTCATACGGTAACAGCCTGTCTGGACCACTTATACCAATCCTTTAAATGAAGTTTTCAGATAACGATGTGTTTAGTAGAAGGTTGACAAATCTTAAGTATTTGCTTAGATGCTCTATCGTCTTCTGCGTTGTGTTCTGATAACAGAGTAGATAGAAAATTTCTTTCTCCACTTTTGCCGTGCTGTCGGAATGGAAACTAGATTTATTAGTAGGTCCATCAGATTTTTGCGGTAAGTAATGGGAAAAGAGCCAGATCGCATATGCTTTCGCAACACGATAAGGAAATAGCGCATACTTTTTTGGGCCTTGTCGAACTCTGGCTTCACCTCCTCTGGCATACGTCCTGTTAGCTGATGAGAGCTCAACTTCTTCTTCAACAGCATCTGCGGAATAGCCGAAAAAAGTAGATACTATGCTGCGCGTTGGTTTTTTTTTCAATATCATAGGTCATAGTGTCACAAGGCGAATAACTTCCAAAAGCATAAAGCAAAGAGTTGGATTCGCACTCCTGTTCGGATCTAAGAGCAGTAGTTATGCTTTGTACTAACACTTTCCTTTTGTTCATATCCATGTTTGTGAATTTAGCAGCTTTGAAATCTTCAGCAAGCTGAAGATCAGCAATGGACTTCCTGGATATTTCCTCATTGAAACTAGGCAATCTGCTTGGATTCCTTATGTAGGAAATCAGAGAGTTTCGCTCAATTGTCAACTCTGTATCAATGTCGACAATATTTTCGTCAGCGTAAGATTATCCTTCTGCCTCGCCGTTGAACTGGAACACATGCGAGTCATCTGCGATTTTGTAAAGTATTCTGCCTGCCGTTTCCTCTTCAAACTGCCAACCTTTTCAAAACATTGAAAGAAATTTAAATAACATGTTATTCTTCTGAATGTCTTAAGTTTTTTGATTCATTGAAACCAACCATTCTCTACAAATTAGATAGGGCGAGTCTAGAGCGTTTTCACGAAAGTGACCTTCTTCAGCACTAGGTTTACAGAGTATAGATTCCAGAAATGGGCGGGTTTTTGTGTAAAGGTGTGGAAATTCACCAATCTCCCATAGTTTTTTAAGTGTGTGCTGATGATGATGGCATAACTGTCAATCAAATTTTTACCAAAAAAACATTTACCAAAAAAACCAGCGCATTTTTTACCAAAAAAACATAAACATACAAGAACGATAGGCACGCTTAAATAGATGCGTTAGCTCACGTAACCGTTAGTGCTGATAACGATGTCAATCCATAGCACATTTTTACTACTAACTTGCTCCACCTCGTTCTTATTAGGTAGTCCCGAAAGTATTGGCGCATGATTTTCAAAAATTCATAACTTCTGATTTTTCCAACCGATTTGACTGCTAACACTTTTATGTGAAAGGGTAAGTCATGCTCTTTATAATGACATCTCAGTGCTTAGTAATGATCATCTGTTGCATAGATAGGAGCGAAAGAAAAAAAAATGGTCAAAATTTGAATTTTCTGTGTAGGGTCATAAAATATTGGAGAGTTGCAACAAAAATCGGAGCAGTCAGTAGTGTAGGTTCTTTCACCACTCTCTCTAACAGTGCAAAGTTTGCGCCGATTGAGCGTTTTTATGGAAAATTATGATATCCCTGAAAAATGCCAAAATAAACCAAATTCGCCCTTTTGTATTGCTTGCTCGAAAATCATAACTTTTCATAGAGACCCTCAACCAGCGCAAACTTTGCACCGTTGGAAAGAGCTGGTGAAAGAACCTACAATCCCGACTGCTCCGATTTGTGTTGCAAGATTCCGATTTTTTATGACTTTACACAGAAATTTCGAATTTTGACTAATTTTTTCTATCGCTCCTATCTATGGAAAAGATGATCATTATCAAGCAACTAAGGTGTCATTATAAAGAGCATGACTTATTCTTTCATAAAAAATAAAAGCGATCCAATCGGTTGGAAAATTCAGAAGTTACGAATTTTTAAATTTGGTGGGAAAGAACTTTCGGGACGACCTATACAATGTGTTGGCTTCTATGGGTTACCGGAGCAAATGATTTTTAGAGCCGGTAAGCAAAGAAGCCCTAACATGCAGTATACCATTCGAAAGCTGAGATCATGAAGAATCGACGTAGACCGTCATCTTTTTTCTAGGTCTTCTGTGCCGCGAGATATGAGAGATTTTATGTGCTTCAAAAATTAACTGATTTTGTGTCCTCACTTTCTGTTCTCTAAATGAAAGCTACGAGAAACTCGACGGTCTACGTTTGTTAATAAAGACTTGCTCTTTAACACAGATAGATAATCAGCAGTGATTAGGTCTTCATTTGGCAGAAATCTGCTGTTGAAAATGACCATGTTTTCAGATAAAATGCGGTGTATCTCTTTTTAGAGGGAGGCTAGAAAGAAGTCGACGGTCTAGGTCGAATCCTCTTTTCTTGAGCTTTCGAATGGTATATAGGTTGCTGGGCGAAAAAACTAACCAGTTTTCAAAAATGGGGTGGAGATATTTACTATTAGCTTGCTCCAACCCAGCTATACCAATGTATTGGCTTTTATCGGTTACCGAAGCAAATGATTTTTAGAGCCGGGAAGCAAAGAAGCCCTAACATGCAGTATACCATTCGAAAGCTGAGATCATGAAGAATCGACGTAGACCCTCGACTTTTTTCTAGGTCTTCTGTGTCGCGAGATATGAGGGATTTTATGTGCTTCAAAAATTAACTGGTTTTGTGTCCTCACTTTCTGCTCTCCAAAATGCTACGAGGATAAATAAATAATATAAATAAACATAAATACCGTTTCTTAATAAATTTATGGGTGTACTTGTTGTTTGAGGTACTTAGCCTGCAAAACCTTTTAATAACGATTTTTATCATATTTTCAGAGTACAATACCAATCTCAGCCCGGGTGAAGGGGGTCATCGGGAGTTTGGCTTCAAAGTGAAGGGGGTAAGATCCATCACTCCCACTATCGCAACTATGGTCGCCATTGCTTTCGGCGATCTTGTCTGCGTTGTTCTTCAACATTCTCAGTAAGAATATCATGTACGGAGAAGATTACGGAGGAAATTTTGTGCTCACTTAGATTAATTATATTGGGCTCGTCTTCATCGTCGTTAGGACCCAATTTTTGACCTTTCTCAGTTCTGAAGAATCTTTATTTACGAAACTCTTGATAAGCGGTCGTGATTGTGGAAGTTCCTGTATTGGAACCCGACTGCTGGTACAGCTGATTAATGAGAGCAACAAATATGTCTTACCACCTCCTCAGTGGTCTTCCACGTAGGCATATTTACTTTGATTAAAAGTTTACTCCAACTCAGACAATCGCCGGGGGCAGGCGGGCACCGGAAAAATAGATTGCTGATCTCTCGCACCCCGCTCGCGGATTTTTTGGAAAGCAATCAGGACTTTTCGAAAGACCGCTTGCTGAGTTCTCGATTCCTCAGAGATTCAGCAATATATCTGCAAAAGATAAGAGCGAAAAAAAATTCAACAGGCGGTCTCTCAAAAATCCGCTGACTCAGCAAGCGGTCTTCCAAAAAGTCCTGATTGCTTTGCAAAAAATCCGCGAGGGGTGTGCGAGAAATCGGCAATCTATTTTTCCGGTGCCCGCCTGCCCCTAGCGATTGTCTGAGAACGTATTTTTTGTCTATCTATCGTCTTTTCTCTTCATTATTTGACCGGACCATATATATCCTGAAGTAAAGCAGGATCTGAGGCATGCAGGTCAACTCGAGCTACTCAAAAGAGGAAACACTGCTCAAATCCTTTTTCGTAGAAAATTGTGATATTCCATACGCAACGACTTTCTTTCATGAAATCTTATACATAAAGCTGAATGTCTGTCCGTCTGTCTGTCTGTCTATCTGTATGCCTGTCTGTCTGTCTGTCTGTACGTATGTTCCGAATAGAATTTCCATTTCTGAACCGATCCGGACCAAACTTGGCACACATACACTTCGGTCCCGGGCGGGTGTCATAGGCTACTTTTCGTCATCCATCGATATCAATCTTATCGATTTTTTGCAATTTGAGCTACGGGGCTGGGAGTTGGCACAGGGGGGTAATCGAGCATGCTGATTACTAATATAATAATGACAGGGCCGGGCGGAGCCGGGTAAGTCAACTAGTGATCAATAAAGATCGGTTCATGATCACACGACTCTCCCTCATTTTGCAGTTTTCCGGACTTTCTGAAAGAGATGCAAGAGAGCACCAAAAACAGTATACGCAGCATAAAAATGAGATTCGATGTCGTTTCCGGAGAAGCGTTGGTCGCTGAACGCTTTTGGCCGGTTGATAGCTATACAAACCCCTCAAGTAGGGCTCTTATATTAGTCACCGCTGCAACCTTTAGCGTTCATTTTTCTTTC